TTTTATCTTAATACGAATGTTTACAATGAGAACATAGTTTTATGATAGTGCCGGTCTGCAAAAGTAGAACAGTGGAACTCGGCCTTTATGCCACTATAATTATATTATATAAGTTTGTACGCAAGTATAAAAATTTCCGACTCATCTTTATTATGTATTGTATTATTCTACGACTTTTGCTATATAATTACTTATTGTTTTATAAAATAATGTATAAAATACTTTAAAAAAATTACATTTCTCAATCGGTCTTCTAGTCAAAAACTAGGGATAACCAGTAATATAGATATTTATACGATATACATACGATACATAATTTACTGGAGGGAAGAGTAATGTGGACTGATGAGCCCATTGCTAGCAATGTGACATATCAGGTTGACATCCACGCGGATCGTGATAAATTCCTGGTGAATTTATCACGATGGGCTAACTGACATGACCTCATGTTCATCCTATTATCTCCCTCTGGTGCCCCACCAGCGTAAATCATTACCGCAGGGTGCAATTCCATTATAATATATAAAAAAAAAACATAATTTACTCAGATAATCCAAACGATCATAAATACAAATGTTTTTATTGAGAGGGTATTGAACTCACGACTAGTGAAAGGTAACACGCTAAATAGATTAATAAATTTAATAAGATCAAACAAATTAAAAATATATAAATGGCAGATAAATGATACTAGGAAGTAACTGGCTATAAAAATACAAGCCATTGGTGAATATTCTGAATGCATATTGCAATTAAGATGTTTTTGTGATTAAAGATTACATATTATTTTGACGACCTCGGTGGTCTAGCGGTTTAGCACTCCGTCTCACTTTCGATGGTTCGGGTTCCATAGCTCGCACGGCACCAACATCTGTATTTATGAGTTTGATTGTTTATATTGATCTGGGTGTTTTCTACGTATTGTATGAATGTATTAAAGAAAAAAATCGATGTATTTGTATCAATTATCTAGTACTCAAAACACAAGCTTTAGCTAACTTAACTTGGGTCTGTGTGAATTGTTCCGAGATTATTCATCATTTATTATTACCTATAAAATTATTTCACTATATAAATTTCTGGGTATGACTATATCTAGTGATATAAAACTAGCCTACACCCTAATCCTACTAAATATACAAAATTTCATAAAATTCGTTTAAGACGTTTCTAAGGATTTTATTTTTAACCAATTAGGATAAAAGTACAGTATATTTTTTAATTTTCTTTTTATATGTAGATGTAAATAATTCTTTATACATTACTTGTCTTTGTTACCACATGCAATGGAAAATTTGATGATTTCACCAATCGTATTATAAACATATTCAAGGAAACGGAGTTCAGAGTAAACTCGAAAAAAAGAGCTACGTTGATATTTTTTTACTTTAAATGGAATTCACCAGCTTTATATTGATAGCGTTTACTAAATTGAAGTTTAGATTTTCATTCGTTCATAGTGTATGCTCATAAAATAATATATGGTGGAATGGGTAATTTAACTAAAATAATTATTAAATTGTCTTCGTTTATGTAACGTACTTATTATATAAAATTAATATACCTAAATGTATAAGTACATATGTTAAATTATATGATTACTGCAAATACTGTCGTGTTATAAAGAAATAGACTTGAAATTTGCATATCCTAGCTATTATGCTTCCTGCTAACAACTATGTGAGTCCAGTAAGTATTTAATATTTCCCCTACCATTACATTATATAATATATTTAACTATCTGTGAGTGTTGATCTCAACTAAGTGATCATATAACGTAGAAACGGCGTTTAGGTATAAAAATATATACATTCAAGATAATTTATAACTGACAGCCTTGGTGGTCTAGCGGTTAAGCACACCATTTATTACTAATGGTCGCGGGTTCAATTCCGACAATACAATAGAAAAAAAGGCGATCAGAGATGGTTAGAAAGACCAAACACTTCTATATCTAGCAAATTAAAGTCGTGTCGTAACAAAGTTTAAACACTAAGTTGGAAGATCGTGGGAAGTGGAAAGATCCTCAACGACAAGAGCGTCGCTGTTAAATTATGAATAAATAAATGTTTGAAAAATAATATAAAGTAGAGTAAGTACAGATATGACGGCAGATATTGAATAGTGTAAGAATACGATGTATAGTCAATGATGAATATAACACCCAAAAGCAACTTAAATGTATATAAAAATATATATATAATTATATTAAAAATTTGTGATTACACCAATAGACGTAAGAATTAAAAATAAATCATTAAAATCGGTTGGCGTTGCATAACAAAATATTCTGCTTAGTAATATTTCCTACATAATATAAAAAAAACGAAAATTTAAGTATAATATTCTACTTTATATTGTAATTCATACAATAGCCTCTAATATCTATTCTTAGGAAATATAAATAGCCTAATTCATCAAGTTCTTTGTTTAATCAACTATAATTAAAATATTATATTGTTATGGTTCTTTTCAGGCAAAATACCTGAGATAAAATGATATATCTAGATATTATTCATACTAATAACGTTAATATATTAATGTGTCTGTCTCTTTATTACCTTTTCACTACTAAATGGCTGAACGGACCACAATGAAATTTTATATGAAGATAATGTGTGTTATTGCGAGTATGAACACAGGCTACCAATTATAAAAAAGCAGAAGATTAAGTCTGTATAAGATTGTAAGTTAGACTAGATTTACTGGTAGGGAAATCAATCCTAATTGACACTAACAATTTTTTTTTGACGCTGGACAATTAACACAGCGCGATCTAGTCCCACGATAAACAGAACTTGTACTAGATAACTGACATAATTAGATATTTATTTTCTCACATATATAATAATACATAATATGTATTGAAAACACCCAAATCGAAACAAACAATTATACTCATGAATACAAATATTTGTATCGTACGCAGAATCGAACCCACGACCATCGGTAGTAAAGCGCTGTACTAAACCGCTAGACCACCGATCACTACTACTGTAATAAAATAAAATACCATGAATAATAAGTTAAGCAAGTATAATGAATTAAAAAGACATTTATTCGTTTGAGATTAGCATGGACATTGATTAATTATATCAATTAATATTTAATAGGAAAATTGTTAAGCAAACTTTTCTAATTATTTACAAATAGAATAATAATTAGAGGTACTAACTACTAACGAGGAACTAACATGTTCCTCAGATTAACATCAACAACACAAGACTCAAAGGTATAAATTGACTTACTATACATATAAATAAAATTGGAGTGTCTGTTTGTAATATTGAAATAACCGTTTTTTACTACATGCATAGGAATATAAATGCGGTACATACACCAAAATAACATTTTTTCCAATTTTCGTCTGTCTCTTTGTCTAATCTCTGAAATGACTGGACTGATTTTGACTTGAGTAACTTAAGCTACTTTCATTTAGCAAAATTCTCTAACTTTATTATTAAATTCCATGCGGACGAAGTCGCGGGTACAGCTAGTTTCCAATATAATTCCATACCTCGTTTTTTTATTACTTAACTCATAGAGTGTAGGTAAATAATTAAAAATAATGAGGTTACACACATTTTAAGTATATTTGGAATAGAATGTGTTACAATGGAAAAATTAAAACAAACAGCAACTGATGCAAACCCAAATCTGAGCTTTTATGCGTACCTTTTTGTATGTAAATATAATATTGCAATACTACAAGATATACTACTGAATTAATTGTGTGATTCTGTCATTTGAAATGGCTGGATGCATGAATGGTCTTAGTTCCAAAAGTAGCGTCTTGGTATACAAAAAAATGAAGCAAGCATGAAGTTTAACCTAGATATTTATTTAAGTTGAACATCCAGTTCATCGAATGCGAATTGATTACAATAGTTTCGTACATTTAGATGAAGTAAAGAAATCATTAATCTTTTAAAAAAAACCTGTAATTATTCCTATAAACTATAATAGATTAACTAAAAAAAAATATTGAATTAAATTTAAAGTATAATATGATAGTATCTACTAAAGTCTATATTGCAAAATGTTTCTATACATGAATGAAATTTATTATTAAGCAATTTATTGTCTGATTTATCTACGAGTATTAACAAACAGCAGTATAAAATGCAACCTACCTTTGTACAACTTAGTTTAATATAATATAGCCAATTTAAAAATAGTTATTTAGTTTTATTGATCTATAATAGAAATTATACGCAATTTCGGGCTCTAAAACCATACATTTAAGATTTAAATACAATACAATGTCCTCTAGACAAAATTCCAGGCATACACTTCGATAATTTTCATAAAAACACTTTCCTAAACACGATCTCAAAATACGCACTGACATTTACAAAATGTAACTACATTAATAGAGTTGATTGTGCGTTAAAAATAAAATATTTCCATACGCATAGGTTTCATTGGAGAAGGAAAATAATTTTATCGTAATTACTTCCGCATTCAATTATATGCCATATATAAAAGGAAAGCAATACGTTACTAATGAAAATAATGATTGTTTTATTGTACGTCTCTATAATGAGTCACTGACCGCGGCCTACAAAATAATGTTTGTATCTCAGATACAACTATAATGGTGGAATGCTCTCGTATAACTAAAATTATGTAACTTATTGTACAAGAGGTCGCAATTCTCAATTGCGCCACAGCAGTATAATACAGAGAAACAAGCTTCACCATCTACATCCATAATCTTTTGAGGAAATGAAATAACAAACTCGTTGTAGAGGTACAAAGTAACCACTTTCCTCTAACCACAGTCGGCATACTGCTTTATACGCAGCCGAATTAGAAAGGCCCATAAGTCCACCGCAGTTGGTAATGCGGTTGAGCCTTCTGTACATTGTTGGGTAATATCTAACAGTTGGTAGGCAAGACGGTTAATCGAAAGGCGCCAATTCCAAATTTAATTCCGCCAGTAAAACACGTACAACCAAATAAATATTTTTATTTTTTTATTTTATAAAATCATTCTGTGTTTGTTTTTTATTCCGTCCGCTTTAATTTACGTCGTGAAAAAAGCAAAGATGGGATACAAGTGAGTCGGTGAATTTGTGTTAAGTAATACCTTTTGGTGGATGTGTAACATTCCTTAAGAGATGCTCTCTGTGATCCTTGATACCTACCTGTGGAAAAATGAGGTTTTTCTTTTTTTCTTTCTCCTTTGTCAAACTTTTTCAATTAGCTTTACCCAGTTTTCACGTTTATTGCAAAAAAGATTAATGCTTATGCGAACAATAGGTACCTACGCTGTTAACTGGTTAAAAGGAATTATAATCTGATTATATTAAGTTATTTTCTTTTTTAATTATTAGATGCCATTTTTGGAGATGTGCCTTTCCAAGAATAGCACACAATAATTATTGTATATCAAATAATTGACAATATTTCCTTTCCTAAAAATAATTTATGTATTTTAATTAATTACATTTATTTTGTTTTATTTGGTGATGGTAATTTCAATTATTGAATTGAGTCTTAATTCTACTAATACTCAAGTTTGCATCTATATATATATATATATATATAATAAAATAGTGTCGCCTGAACAACTTTTCAAAACAGATACACAGACAAAACTGCAATGTCAGGAATTTGAAATTTGAAAAATAAGTTTATATATAAATAAGCTACTAAGAAATTTCTTTATTTAACATTTAAATTTAAATTACTTACTAAAGGATAAAGTGGTTTCTGTAAAAGTTTTTGTATTTATAATTGCTTTAATATATAACCTATTCACATTTTAACATAAACAAATGTTATTGTAACAAAGTGTACTTAATAAAACATTAAAAGAGAATACTGATATAAAATCTTCGTTATTAGAGGAAAAATATTAGTCGGTGTTTTTGGTTAAAACAGCATTTTCTTTTGTACTATTTGAAGCACCTGTACGTTGTGAAAATTTTTGAAATGAAAATATATTTTTTAGTAACAGTGATGATTAGTACTTACAAGGAAGTTAAAGGTCAACTAAGCAGAAAACTGTCTTTTCCGTTAACTAAAACACAAATTGTAACTAAGAATAGCTACTTTTATAAATACGAGCATAGGCGAACTACCATTATCTGCTATAGTTCAAGTAGGAAGGTTTTTTCTTATCCATGGCTGTTTACTATTTAAGTTAAATGAATGAGATGATCATGATAGTGATGTTATTAACCATAATACCTGATTCAAAAATAAATTTACAATACCCAAGGTGAGTTTCTTGTACATTTTTCTAAACTGGCAAGTTAGTCGGCCGTATACTTGTTGCTAAGTTGAAATCAACGAAAAGTCGCCATTTGACAATACCTCTGACTACCCCATCTAGATTAACAGTCGTGAAGTAATAAAAGTTGATGATTCATCACAAAATCGGTTTTATATAAGTAGTCTCGTCGTAAACAAACTTGGTAAAACTAGAACAGTGGTTATGTAACTAAAATAATGAGTTTTTATTGCGGACTCCTCTCAAGCAAATCAGTGAGAAACATTAGTATTGTATATGCAAAATTGTCACTTCGCCATTCAACCTAACTAACTAACATAAGTTTAGGGGGTGAGAAAATCCAAAAATATTATTATACAATAAAATGATTAAGGAGAAATAATTATAAATGTTACGTAAACGAGATATTCATCATTATAATATAATTTATAAGTTCCCGATAAATAAACGCTATTACAATTCACGGTCACGGGTCACCGGAATGGTTTGTTGGATGTAAACAGTTATTACCTTACTTAATTGGTTTATATTATTTTGTTTTTTGTTTCGTCTATGTACAGATTAAACATCTGCTCGCCGAATAATCAACACTAAGCTTCCAAACTCTATTCATTGTCTGAATAATACACGTTTATAGGTGAGACACGTGTCGTAATATGGTTGTAGAATAACATTCGGAATTTAATCACTAATAGGAAAGGTTTTAACGATTATAGTAGCGGTGCACGGTGGTCAGATCCGAACTGAATATTTTTGGTCTCACGCATAGATCTGAAGGGGAATTAAAATAATATAAATCCAATAAGGAATAAATGGACCTCTGTAAAATAAATTCTAAATCTATAAACTAAATAAATATAATAAGATTTTTATTTATTTTTTAAATTTTCTCTGCGTATAAAATAATCACTACCGCTAGAAATCTCTTTATTACCACAGACCAACCTTAAAAATGTTTTAAATGCAATTATTTCAAACTTTTCTCATTTAGTGGAGAAAATAAATATATTTATCCATCCGTATAATATTCGTGACTATTCCAATAAAGCACATCTACACTATAAAGTGGAAACATTTGACATTTGTCAATGAAACTTGTTAATAATAAACTCTGATGCACTGATACATACAATATATTTACATTTGTTGTGTAGTTTTTGCAAATATTAAAGGTTTTAAACAATGTCTATAGCAGTACATATAGGACAAAGTGAAATGTTTAACGGGACGTTTTGTCATGCATATTTATATACATATATACATTATAGTATGAAGATAGCATTAAGCGTCAATGACCAAATGATCATTTGGTTGTTTTCTCTTTCCTCTATCAAGTGACGACGCACCTTTTACGGTTGTACAGTATATATAACGAAGATCCAATAGCTACAGCTATAAGCTTATATTATACATATAAACCTTCTAAAGCAAATTCTCTGAATAAGAGTGAAGAATGTATTATTATGCGTTACCTAGTTTAGTAGAACTAAGCGGAATACACGCAGACGAAAATAACCAAGTTCACATGAAGCATTTCATTTATATTTACACTATTTTATTATTTTCATATATTATTTGTTATTATATTTATTTTTATAAAGATACCATAAATGTTCTTCCACCGCTCATTTAGCCCAGAAGAATAAGTAACAAACATGCCTAATACTCTTTTTATGATGATTACAAACAAGTAAATAATACGAATTTATTAACTTCTTCCCACGACTATATCTGATTTTTTTAGATAAAAGAGAATCTATATTTATCTTGGTGATACAACCTATATTCATTGAAATTTAATTATAATATTTTTATACATTTAGTCGTATCAGTAAGTTAGAGGGACATATACTTTCGTAATTATAATAACGGCTAAAGAATCTTTTAGAAAATTTATTGTGAAATAAACGCGTCATAAATAATATAGATTTTGGGATCAGAATAAAGGTACGATGAATACTCTACAGTGTTTGTTTTCATTTACATAAAGTTATTATCTCACTTCACCTCACGTGACCTAAGTCAACTTCAAAAAGTTACAAGCCCCATCCCGCGCGAACCCTTGTACAAAACAGTTGTTTATTTACTACTTAGCCATTCATGTTGGCTTCCATTTAAAATTATTAATGTCATGTAACATACGTACACTTACCGCTTTCTGTCTTCTCTTCCCTACCCAAAGCTTGTCTGGTAGAGATTGCTCATCCGGTAAAATCTCTTTTTGCACCTTATTAATAATTACACTCTTTGTAACTTAACTCTGGTGCAATAAAGACACATGTTAATTAATTTATATAAATAAATTTGTACTTATCATTAATATATTAATTAACTACTTAAGTTTGTACAAAAATTACATTTGATCTATTCGATATAGATTCGGTAATACATTACTTTTGACTTTGACTACATGGAAAATGTAGTGGAATAAAGCTTATGTTTAGTATTATCTTATTATGTACTAACTGACACGTGTTATCATCTGTATTACAACTCCCTCGTATTAGTCGTATACTCATGTTACATAGTTTCCATAGACCTCTAGGAAGTATGTACTATCCAGCACTAAAAATATTCAAATTTGAATCAGCAATACTGGAGATTTGGCCGAATATCTAAACTCACCTCATCAAGAAATCTCTTTATTATATTAATTAATAATTGTATATTACAATTTCCTTAAAAAATAATATGATGCTAACTAGTACCCGCAACTGCGTCTGCTTTGGGATAATTGGGATAATAGACAGCCTATGATATCAGTTCTCATGATATTTATATTTGTCCTTGCATTATTATCTACAAAATATATAGAATCTAATATAAGCTGTAAATGAAAAAAAAAAACTACTAATAACTAGTCTTTGTAACAAATATAAATGTGAAATTATGTTTCTAAATTTCTTACCATTTCATGACTAAAGGAGGGACTTTATTAGTAGTTTTTTTTTTCATTTACAGCTTACATTAGATTCTATATATTTTGTAACTGAAAACTTTTGAAACCATACCTTCATGGTTAATTCAGGTCGTGTCCCCCGGGATTGAAAGATGGGAGAGATTGTTTTTTAAAATATTTACTTACGGTGTATAATTTGTATACTTTTTTTACAGACTTCTCATCCTGTTGGGTCTACTTCTGGGCGTCTTGTACAGTCTTCATCTCCTCGTGAAGGATTACCAGGCACTCACAGCGGGCAAATTCCTGTGGAAGCTTCTTTTTAAAAGGGATGTCAGCTCACAAAACTCATACCAGGTAAATATGTTTTGGGCGTTATTTGAGTGAAATTTTATATAGATTTTTATTAAATTCAATAATTTTGTTCTTTTCATTTATACTGTTTACTTAATTTGAATGAAAGAGACACTATAAAACTGAATATTACAATCGCTAAAATTAGTTTGTTCGGAGGAATGACACTGGTTAATTAAAGTATGTATATACAATCAACAAAAGGATAATTTATTTATAACCCTCTGTTAAAAGTAGAAGGCTCTATATTCAACTATACTTCATTTATGAATAAGTATAATATGTAACGCGATGTCAAAGTTATTAATGTTATAAACAGAGATATAATGTTTTATTATAGAAATGTAAACTCCGCACCCACTACACAGATTTGAAAAATTCTTTCACTATTTGGAAGTCACATTATTCCAGATTAGCACATAGAACTATGTATACAAATTTTAAGTTCTTATAAAACTTACAAAATTAGAAAAACCGTTTTGTATTTAAATTATTGAAAAAAATATTGAAAGGTACATAATCTTCAACGTTAACATAGATTTCGCTTTCACGTTGAAATTAATAAATTCATGTTCGGTACCAATAATGATCAGCGCTTTCGCCTAGTTTATATCTCCTCTGAGCGTAGTATTAATTATCATTACCGAGAATCGTGATTCTTCCGTTTAATCACCAATAATCACCATCCCTCTGAGTGTGCGCTTTATTAGTATAGATCTGGAGGTCTAATCTCAATTTCGATTTCAACCTCATCCAGTTTTATACTTTTTGTTTTTCCAGTAACATAAAAATAAAATAAGTTAATGGTTAGTTAGTTTATAGAATGACTAAAACATTACAATATATGGAAATAATAAGGTGCTAGTGCACGAAAAGTTGCAAAAAAACACATTCCAATGTCGATCAATTGGAATCGCTTTCAAGACTACATCCCCTTGTCATTATGAGTGTCTCAATTTGTTACTAAACAAACTTTAAAAGTATTATTTTAATTCTGTGCTGTATTGGAATAACAGGAAATCTTAAGAATAAAAGTTGTACAATATATATAGTAAAATCAAACAATGAATTCAAAACTACTTATTTACTTTATTTACTATTTGTTTTCTATTTTAATTCCCATATAAATTTATAACAAAGAACAATTCCAAGCATTCTATCTTTAGAATTTACATAATATTACAGTGATGTTACGACCTACTTACATAAAATATATGTGTAAATATAGCACATACATATTTGAATAGGTCTTTGCCAAATATTGAAAAACAAGGCATTAAACCCAATGGAAGTTTAACTTCACATTTAACTTATTCTGTACTTAACCTAGATGTAAATAACCTAGATAGTATACTTAAGAAACAAAAAAAAAATATCGGTTCATAAATCAATACCTACATAACATATCCAAAATAGCTAACAATTTTAATGTTTCTATTAAAATTATGTTAATTGTGTATTGTTAATATATATTTAAAAGCCAAGATTAGGCTACTTATCAAAATATAATAGAAGTTAGTATTTTTCTTTGCTATTCAATCTTTCTTTTTGATATCTACATATTGGACCTAAAATAAAATTTCCCTTTTGGTTTTCAAATATAATACAAACAGATACTCGGACAAGGAAAAGAAAAACTGTTATGATTACGATATTTCGATAAATCAATTTCGATAGATCAAGAAACCGCATGTAATATAAACGAAGATAAATAAAGAAATACTAATATTAGTAAGTTAAATATATATTTCTATGAATAAAATATATTGGCTATACAATCCTTGGCTCAATATCATACCAATATTGGAGATGCTCAAAATTGATTTATGGGGCGAAGTCTTAACTGAATAAACTCAGTAAGTATAGGACTTGTAAAGAAGATCGAATAAGCTTACTTTCATTGTGCGCCTATTTATTTGTTTACTACCATATGCAGTGAGAGATATATTGTGCTGGTGGTCTCTTTATTCTCCCAAATTTTAATTTAAAAATTAATCTGTATTATTGTAAACATGTATAATATTTATTTGAAAAGAAACGAGCTGAGTTTCTCGTCAGTTCTTCTCATCTCGAAATGATACCGAACCCCCAAAACATAATAATAAATTTCCGAACTGACGGTAGATTTGACATATCATCAAAAACTGTAATAGACCTACCTGAATAAAGATATTTTGAATTTGAATTTGAAAAATGATGACCTTAAATCTCGGTCAGTTAGCCTATCTGCAGAGAGGTAAATTCAACAAAAACAAAATTATTTTTCATCAGGTCTTGATTAAATTGATTTGATTGATGTATCTATCTATATTGCCACCAATTGAAGTAGCAGTCCCTAATAGTCTTTAATATAAAATAAAAAAGGAAATAGATATTAAAAGATGAGATACGATGAAAAATCTAATAGCCTGAAATTTTCAATATTTAAACGCGTAACTCACTATTAGTGCCTACTCGGCCCGGATATCTGAGTTGAGTACCGTCGGAACGAGTCATAGGAAGGTTTATATTATTTTTTTTACTAAATAAAATAATGATAATCGTGATAAAACCCTATTCAATCGATTGCAAGAAATCGTTAAATGAGGTAATTCTTTTCGTGAAAATTTAACACTTTTTATGTAAATTTTACCCTTTATCTTTCTATGATTCTAAGTAACAATATTATCGCAGAATAATACATATAGCGAAGTCCCGAGCTAAGTAAAGCTTATGTTATAGATAACTAGGCAACTAATATAAATAAACATATATAGTTTTTTCTTGTAAACACATACTTATTATATATAGAAAATCGTAAATATATATCCAGAACAATACAAACAATCATGGGCTGTTTGTATTGTTTTGGATGATGATGGGCTGTGGGATGTTAGGTGGTGTGCTAAACCACTAGACTGTCGAGGCCACCAGACGGCAAATATAAGAAAACATTCTATGTTATGTAATCAAACAGTAAATAAATTATTCTAACACGTACCATATAACGAAAAGAACCTGCTCCCTCATGCTTTCTCGAAATGTAAAAGCGAAAACGTTTTTTAATAAATGTTAATGTCAAAATTTTCTTGACTTTTACAACTCAAACTGGAATAAAAACTCTCCAGTAATCAGTTTAAGTAGGCGCCTATGTAGTTATTCAACATTTATACGGAAATACCGCAGAATTTTACATACATGTACGTAACGTTTCAATTTAATGAATGCCTATTTTGTTAGACGTACATTCCACTGGCTACATAAAATATTCTGGCACCGAAACAGATGTCTACAACGCACTTTACCCTCGTCAAAAGTGCTTACAACTATAACTTATAATCGGAAAGTAGGAGGTAGTTTTAAGAAAACATCTATAAACTCTCCCTTTTTGGTCAGTACTATATCTCACTCTATAAATCCGGGAATAAGGCGGATTTTAAACATAAATACGAATATGAGTTTTACACCTATAATTTTAGGAAAGAATATATATTATCAGTTATTTCTTTCAAAATTTTAGAAAACAAGTTTTTTTATGCTAGATTTGAACTAATGATACTGGTATCTGGTAGTATCCACTAAACCACGACAGCACGAGGCATTTGATAAAAGTGACGTTATGTAATTTGTAATAAAAACAAAAAAAAATTCTAATGAAAATAAAGTTTGTTACTTTATTTTAGCCACTATAACATACTCATTGTCGCTAAAATAAAGTAAGAAACTTATGAATAAAAAAATAGCCTTATGTATATATATAAGCCTTTTTATGATTATCACAGTGATGTCAAGTCTCAAATGAAGCAAAGCTTGTAGTATATTAATATAGTAGTAGTAGTATGTAATATATACATATAACAAAATACTAACGTAGATTTTGTAAAAAGTCTTCTTCTGTCTACACATATTTCAGCAACCCAACGACTTGCTTTGTATGCTGTGTGTGAGCTGATGAGTGGAGAGTGGTGATAAGGCAGTCAAATTACAAGATACGTATCTCGTATGACATCTTAGAGAATGGAATCAAAATGCGTCGTGGGCGCCATATGACAATGTTATGGCCATTACGTGGCCGTCAGCTTGTTTGCAATTCCATATTTAAAATAAGGGAAAGAGAGATTAAATATTATTTTAAATAATAATATCCTTGTGCATACTTGTTAAGAACATTCTAAGATTATTTCTGTATCGAATGTTTTTTATCGAAACTTATTGGGTCGAATATTTAAATTATGTTATTTCGGACTAGAGGCTTAGTGTAGACCTCTATAATCTTAAATAAAGCTTCTTCATGGATAGATAATTTATTTGTTTGATCATTGTTTTCTTTATAGTGTAGGTTTTACAATAAATTACTGTACAAATGTTCCAGTGAGAGAAGCTGTGCAAATTGCATAGTTCTTGATTTACAAAATAATAATGAGAAGATTAAACGTTATATCTATTCTCGCAGATAGTAATAGCATTTTTCTACGAATTGAACGTGTAATCTATTTTAAACCTATTTACGGGCATCTCTCTAATTACCTACGGTGTTTTTTTTATTATAAGTTTGTATGGATCTGACGTAGTAATTAGTTTTTGATAAGTTTATCAGTTATAAATTATCTTGTGTATAATTAATGTAATGGAATTTTTTTACAGTATCACACCGTAAGATGGAAAAAGATATTGGGTTACGACGCCATACAATGCGCCCGGTATTTCTATTGTGACCTCGGAGCGAAAGCAGACAATGAGATCCAAAAAGGTTTCGTCCAAATGTTAAAGTAAGCCTTTGTATTTTCCTATTATTTCTGGTACCATTACAATAAATTAATTATACGACTTATTAACCAGATGGGTTCACAGTCTGATATACGAGTATGATTTACTGATTAAATTGGAAAATTTGGGCATATGTACTTATTACATATCGATCTTGACTGTGGTTGTTCATGTCATATAAGAGCAGGCACATATTCTCCGATTCGTTTATGTTAATAAGATAGACCACAAATTTTAATGTCACATAAATTTTGCAAAAATAAAGTAATGTAAATGAATAACTTCGAAATAAATAAAGCCTTAAAGAAGAAAACACAAATAAATTTATATGAGAGAAGAAAAACTTGATAGTGAACTTGTTGTGGATGGGTTCTTTTGCGTTGAGATGATATGACCAATAAATAATTGTATTTATTTAATAATTTTCCCTAACTCCGAAATACAACTTATACAGAAGTTGCGTTACGAGTGACTTAAATGAAACAGAAATATCTACGCAGATGACTTCCAACAGAGTCCACCTTTGGTCAAATTTTGTATCCATGGCAGTGCGGGCAAACCGATCTACCTGTTCTTGTTAAATGAGATCGAAAGGCAACTATTTCTTTACAGTTGTTTGCGCTCGCAAATAACCATTTAATACATTGTAAAAATAAAGTTATAAAATTCAAATTTGGAACGTCACGCATGGAACATCGATGTTGTTTTGTTTTACTTTATATATTTTTTTCACTTCTTCTCGAACATTCTGTGGCGTCACTATTAAATTTTTTGTAGCATTTAAGCACACATAATTTATTAATGACATGATATAAGGAAGAGTTTGTAAAGTGCTTTGTATGAATATTTTATAAAATATTTATACACGTATTATTAACTCATATGTATTGCAGACTCTAAGTAGTGATGGTAGGTAATTTTTGTTATCATCAATTATAACGATATATCTAAATAAGCTGAGAGAAATAGGTGAGATAAAGATATCAATGTAGATAACTTTATACGAAGTTACCTTTTAGTACAAATAAATAAAAGGATAAATATTTATTCTTTAACCAACAACAATAAAAACCCAATCTGAAACCGTTTTCATTCTATCCAGTTGACAGTTATTAAACAGTTCACAGACTGAGATGGGTCTGATAACTGATTATACCCTAAGGGTTTCAAAGATTCGACCACATTGACTTCATATGAACCAGCTCTGCCGTATCCCATGGGATCAGGAATAACATAATAGAATCCATCGAGATATTTACAAATTATCTATTGTGGATTGTCTTTTAGGACTGAAACATTTTTCAAATAAGAAACTCTATCTCTATCTATCTAAAACTATATATTTTTAGATAGATAGATAATATTTTTATTTTATCCTTACTTATACAGTTTACACAACACACTTTGCGGTATATATTCTATTTTAATATAGCTAATTATCTTTAAAATACAGAATTTTTATCAAAGAGGACGTATAAAGTTACTACGCCTATGAGCACCTAGTTTTGTAAACTGTATGTTTATGTGACGAATGAGACAGTGAATTTATTTAATATATTTTAAACGGAGAACAGTATAAGTGGAGAATAATTTTGAATTTAAATTAAATAGAAATAGCATCCCATGGAACCACAAGTATATATTGTGTAAAGCATTTGCTGTAAAATATGTATATAGATGATGGTTACCAGTTAATACTACTCGATGAAGATTGACGGCATACTCGATGGTATTATTTATAATTCTTAAGTTATAAAAAAATGGAATTACTTCTTTTATTCGTTGTGTTTTCAGGATATACCACGATTCAGTGAAGTGTTAAAATGTATATTCCTGTAGCTTTTGAACTACGCATATAAATGATTCATAAAGTCTCGTACAATATTAAACATGACGGTGGCTTTATAGCGCCAACTTTTCTAAAGAATGAAAGATTGAATCGAATAATTTTTCTTTTTTATTTTTGTTATTAGTATAGACATTATTAATAAAAGACGTTAAAGTACATGTAGGATCATGTGTTAGACACATTTTATTTTTCGTATATTTATATATTATAGGATCACGATCCCGAATTAATCCTTTCAGCACACCTATCACGATTATGTGCTATGGATGTTCACCGGCATCTTTCATGTTAGTTATAGAATATTTAGTAATTATAAGCTAGGTTTAAAAACTATAATATATATAAATATAGTCAGTGATGTTGAAAATTAAAAATAGTTCGTTCGATAACCTTCATGACACATTAGTTAGTAAATAGTTTAACATTTCTCCCTGATTTGATTCGTTTGATTCTCTACAAAGAAATATATATTTATAAATTGCCATTCACTAATATTGGTAACTCATCTTGACTCTATTATTTAAAGATGTTACGATGATATTAAATGATGTTTTATTTATTAACAAATATATTAATGGTCGTTTTAACAAGTAACCTATATCCTTTATAAGATATATTTAGTATATAGTCGTCTGCATGGATAACTCTATCGTATTTATGTCAGTCGTCTAGCAAATTACTTAGGAAGCTATATTTCGGTTAAAGATGAGTGATGATCACAGTGAAATTTCAGAGTACAGAAGCATGATATCACATGATGTCAACACTTGAAATGATTATTTATCTACTTGATAGATAAGAAAAATTAGAACAAAATATAAATAATAAATAAGTATAACAATTTACTTTTTCTTTTGTGTTTCAGCTTACGGCCTCTCGAGGAAGATAAGTCGTCGTTACAAGTTTTTCAACAAGCATACGAACTTGGAAGGACGTCAGGAGTTGAGAGCTGTCACAAAGAATATCCAGTTTGCCCTTTTGATGGGAAAGCGTTGTATTATATTATAAGATATTTATTGCAAACTACAAAGTGACAAGACAGAGCGTTATATAATTAACAGTAGTTTGTTTACAGAGGGTAGATTGTCTTCTTCAATAATACATGGAAACTGAGGCGAGCAAGAAGTTGATAAAAAGTCAACAATATAAAAAAAATATTTAAACTACTTTATAAACTGTGTTGCCACCAAAATATATGTGGTAACACAACATATTTTGCCATAAATATGATGTACAGTGTTTACATACCATATATATAGATTATGTCCGTATGAATTATTGTTGATTTTAACACGAAAATATCGAGTTTTGTAGGTACATGTTTTAAAATTTGATGTGAATGTTATAAATATTTTAAACGAGTTTTCGCATCTAATGTTATTATATGTTGATTGCTGTAGGTGGCTCTTAGTATAATGCATTTGGTCATTTAATATTTTGTTTTTACCAATTTCAAACTGCTAATGCAGACCAGATGAATTTCGTACTGTCTTAGAACCAAATTAAATTCAGTATTTATTACGATAAAATAAATGCTCAAAATTTATTTACTTTTATAATACTCGAGGAACGTTCTAGAGGCTAAGAGAAAATATATTAATCCAGGTTAAAATTTGACTGACTTCCTATACATTTTTTTTATTCCCTCTATTTTCTGACAAATTAAAAAAAAAAACTTAACATTTAGTATCGGTCCAGCCAATCTTGAGTAATAAGTGTAACCACAGATAATATATGGCGTAACTAACCAGGTTTATTTGTATAATACAGTTAAATATCTACCCATTTACTATATTAGGTTAAGAAATAATGTGCAAGCCTTTGTAAAACTAGACTATAAATTGTTATTATTAAATATTTACTGTTATTTAGTTTTAATACTATAAATAATGAAATTGTTATAAATTATATGAAATAATAAATATCTAGTCCATTATAACAAAAATCTTTCACTTACAGAATTCGTTATTTAAATCTCAATAGGACATTTGTTACTTTTAATGATATTGGGCGTACAATTTTGTTTCAAATATATATTTATCGATTTATTGATATATGTAGTTCAATAATAAGATTTTCTGTCTGTACATTATTAATTATTTAATTTAGATAATGATAATTTGATGATAATGACAATTAAAATAATTAATACAAGGTATAACTAATATATTATTTATATGATAATATATATTTTGTCAAAAATTATTGACAAAATTATTAACTCTGGTCAACGAAGTAAAATAAACGGTACTAATAAAGAATGAATAAACAGTAGTAATAGCCGAATGATTGTAATCATTTTTGTACAATTTTGTAAAATTAACCAAGTAAATTATTTAGTATCACATGGATATAAAATTTTTATTTTTTTTATACCGTTATAGTGGCAAACTAGTGCATAATCTATCTATACTAGTAGTTGAAACATAGCTTATGAATCACCAGGATTGTCATGTATGCAATACCGACCGCCCTTTTTGAACTGACAATGGGTCTCAGTTTGTAAGTTTTCAAAAAGAGTCATCAAATCAGCCCTAATCAAAAAAGTAGGTGAATTTATTTTATTTATTATTAGGCATAGGTGAGAAGGACACATTTTTTTTGAAGGTGTTCGAACAAAATCAAGCTCATGTGATCTGAAAAAGATTTAGGTTCCATGAAATATTGCTATGTCGATGAAAAAGTAATAAGCCAAGTCTTAAGTCAAGTAATGGTTCTAGAAACGTTGAACATTCAAATGTAATCATAATTTTATTTACTTTCTCGAGGCTCGAAAATAGCAAATGGTTGTCTTTCTGCATTTTTGCCTTCTGAGTTGCTTAAAAAAAATTACCGTTAATTTTTTTTATATATGTTTTATATTATGTACGAAATTGTTCTCGTCATATAACTAATTATGTAATGGATTATAATTCATTGTAATGTAGTAATGGAGCATTAATGCTATGGCTATCTGGTCCGGGCAATCACTATGTATTGTATTATTAGTTTTCTTAAGATATTTAAATTGTTACTACTGTCTCTTAGCTAAACTATTAATGTTACCAAAGAGGTGACATAACCTATTATTTTAATTAACATTTATATACATATAAAACCAGTATAATTTCCTTAAATGGGCAATCACTATACTGTTTACCCTATATCTTACTTGACCGTAAGCTGACTTTTATCATAGATATATATCGTAGGTAGATCGTAGAAATTACTGGAAATTGTTAGAGAAGTATAAAGCTTTTTATTCTGCGGTAATCCGGTTTTAGCTATCATCTACGAGATAAAGAAATTAGTTGTAAAACTCTATGTAACTACATAAAGTTTCTACAGTACCAACATACATAGCTTGAGAAATCAGTTTATTCAATGTTTTATCTGTATATTGTATATAGTTTGATCTCCTACTTTATTTACTTACATATGTAATTAAGTACAATACCTACACGATTTTTATTCCAAATAGGGTTATGTTGCTCTTTTAAATAATTCTTGTATATTTACATTCACAAGTCGAAACGTGTGAATACAAACTACCAACCAGCACAATTTTTTTTTGGGTCAAATATAAATATACAATAAGATTAAATCAGTCGTGATAACAGCAGACCAGTCTCTACAAGCAGCACTCGTTCACGAGTATGACAGATGAGCCATCACTGCGCTTGACCATATTTTAGGGAGCCCAACTACCCGGCCCACCAAGCCGCCACATGTTGGACGTTTTAGTGAGCATGACTACTCGTTCCACTCGACCACGTCATAGCTACTTAAAATTACTATATGGTAGTTACAGTATTCACTATTATATATACACATTCGCATGCATCCTCATGTAAAGTATGAGGATGCATGCGGCAATCAATACAAAAGCCGCTACGCTATCATATATCAAGAAAGCAGTATGAAAAAGAAATTATAACGTTGTCCGCAAATAAACTTATTCTTCCTAGATACTGCTATCACCTATAAATTCATCTATCATATAATAGGCTTTTTTACATAAATTTGTTTAATATAAAATTTGGTAGTTTATATAGATATTAGACAGCGTAGATTTTGGCAGTTTATTGGCGGTCAAGTTTCGACCATTATTAACTCTACATCCATATTGCGATACGTGCTTTCGCTTCTGCACGAGGCATCATATGCATGCAGCTTGGATGTCTAGTTTTGACTGTTCGTCGTAATTTGGTCCCAGAACAACACATATTAGTAGCGGTGGTCAGGTTTCCGCACTGAATATTCTTTCTTCTCAGTTCGTTCTTTGCCGTGAAATTAAAAATAATATAAATACATTAAATAATGAAATGGACTTTCCCAGAACAACGCCTACTTCGATAAAATATATATTATTAGAGGCATTGTCAATAGCCAATGTTGTTGAACGCAACATTTGACACGCCCACATTTCGCTGAAAACGTTTGAATCAAACGTTTGAATAAAATTGCATATCCGTTCTTGAGATTAAGTAGCACGATACTTAATCTCAAGAATGAAACAAAAACACCATGAGACAAATACACAGATAACCAAAAACAGCCAAATAAACAGACAAAATCTTCTAATAGTATTTATTCTCATATATCTTCCAAATGCAACAGCTGTAGCGAACTCGTTGATAGTTTTTTTTATATTATTTTTGAATTTTATAATCATATTCCTTTGACATATTGTTTTTATTGTCATACTAGTCACATTTTCTTTAACTTCCGTATTTTCCTCATAAAACCCTCATCAGGCACATCAGATATCTCCGCTTCAAGAGCGATCAGTTACATTTTAATTAAATGTTAATCTTAACATTTAATTAAAATATAACTGGTATATTTATCTTCATAAGTATTATTTTTGTATTAAATCTATGGCTTCTAATTTCAGCTGTAAGGATAGCAATGATCGTCTGTGATAATAATTTACACAACAACTGACCACAAATTACTTATCGGGCTTACGTGCATTTGTATGTTACATGTATATACAAGTATACGTTATATAGATATAATTAATGTAGCCATCTCTGGCCGTTCGGTTGCCAATGATGTACGAAGAGGGAATTTAAACATTCCATTAGTACGACAGTTATTTTAATATAATGGTAGCACTATCAATTCAAAACCAACACCTCCTTACATTCGCTGGTCGCCGGTTCGATTAATAGCTGGTAACAACATTTGTATTCCTGAGTATGATTGTGTGTATAGAACTGGTTGTCTTCTATGCATATTAGTACATATACTCATAGTTAAAGTTTTGCTTTTTGGAACTAGATAGCGCTGTATAAATTTAAAAAAAATGGAAATTATGACGAAGGTGACTTAGTGGTTTAACACTTCGCGTCATGTTTTCATAGGTGCTAGTTCGATTCTCTCAGGTATTTTAAAATATGTGTTTTAGTATTTTATTTTTGTACATTAAAATTTACGGTTATTATCCTTAATATCAGCCCAACAACTATTTTGGGACTAGATGGCGCTGTATCATATTTAAATTTTTTTTTATTTAGTTAGGTGTGTATTTATAAAAATTTTATGTGGCGTTAAAATATCTACGACAAAATATTCAAAGAAAAGTTTTCAATATTTTGTTGTATGTATATTTTCTATTCGCTAAGCTATAACATTAAAACTCGTACAAACTGTTTATTTCATATATATACATATTTAACTTTTTAAATATATTATTTCCAACAAATTGGTAAATTCATATGAATGCAATCAGAAATGTTTCACGACTTTTTTCATTACTTATATCACATTTGCGAGATACACGCCTCCAAAGTGTCGTAAAATTGGAAAAGTTTCGCTTCCCTTCCCCCACCCCCTCTCTAATACAACTTTGTAACTACACATAAAAAAATTGATTGAAATCAGGATAGTAATGTTGTAATAAAAAGTTTACCTTTTTACAAAATTTTTATGAAATAAGCAATATTTAAAAGTACTATTTTTTTGTTTATAACTTTAATACATATGTACCTTACATATGGCGGACTTAACACCTAGAGGCATTTTCTTCCACTCAATCATAGGGCAAACA